AAAAAAAAAAAAAAAAGAGAAAAGATGAAGCAAATCTAGCCGCAAGCTCCCTTGGGACTCCGATCTTGACAATCTTCTTACGTCTCATCATCATCACAACCTCCATCGTCATCACCAGTAATCACCAAAGCAAAAGGGTTCGGCAACCACCAAACAAGGGGAGGATCTTTCTTCTCCAAAAAAAAAAAAAAATTCTTAAGTATTCGTGAACACTGTTGGTATGTCGAAATATCGGCCGGTATATTGAAATACTGGTCGATACATCAAAATTTGACCAAAATGATCGAAACTTGACCAAAATGAAATTGAATCTTGTACTGTTTTGATTTAATGAAAAAATTGGTACGTACTGACCATATCGACCAGTACAAAACGAAATTAACAACACTGGGCAAGTCTCAAGGTTAGTAGTAGTAGTTCAACATGGGAAATCGGTCGGGCCCTGTGAGACTAGAAATGATGTTCGACAAAATGTTTAAGAGAAAGCAATTGTTTCTCGAACACTTTCCTCTATCTTCATATTATGTCATTATTGTGCCTCGATCACAAGATCAAATAAAATAATAATTAATGAATTAATTAAGAAATATCGATAAAAAATATCATCAAAAAAGACATGAAAAGTTTATTTACTTTAACGCGATTCATACATCTGTGGAGAGTAGATTAACTGGTGCAACAGAAATGTATATAATATGTCGCCCCTAGAATACTACAGTTTTATAATAATACTCTATGAATTTCCATTATCCATGAAGTCACATAACTCAAAACATCTTTCTTGCCCAACAATATTTAAAAGATAGAATAAGATAAGAAAAAATAAGAGAATGCATAGGAACTCTCTTTTTAAGCAAAAAGTCATATTTTATTCATAGGACTCATGGTTATATAACTCCTATTTATATATTAATGATAAGAATAAATTAAATAATTATTATATAATAATGTGCCTTTAAATAGAACAATTAACTTACAATGATTAGTTTGATTAAATCTTTAATGAGATAATAAGGGCCTGTTTGGTGGAGTTCCTAGGAGCTTCAGCTTTTGGACACTATTCATGTCTCATGAATTTAAATTTCCTTTTTAAAAACTTACACTTTTAAATATTTTTTTAACCTCAAAAAGCTCTTAAACAGTAAAATTTTAAAAGTTTCAAATCTAAACTTTTCATAAATTCTCTTTTTACTTACTTTTCACTCACTTTTTCACATTTTTAAAAGTTAAAACTCTATTTTCCCTCCAATAAAAATTTAAATTTATCACTCATAACAGTACTCAAAAAGTAAAAGCTCTCACAAGCCACATCAAATAGGTTCTAAATTTAATTTATAAAATATATTATTATTTTTTTTTTATTAAAACACTTAAATTCTAACAAAAACTGCATGAAGAACGTGTTGATTCAATCAAAGACGAGGTTTCCTTAACCCTATGTCTG